AAGAGAAACTGCAGCCAATCAAAACTTGATAGAAGAAACACCATCAAAAGGGCTCTCAATGAGCACTGAACATACTTACCCGTAGATGTAAGACAGAAACCAATGTGGGCTGACGGTGACAGACCAGAATGCAGATAATAGAATGCCACAACTGCGGAGTAATGACTCAGGTAACACAAACTGGGGTGCAAAAGACAAAAGAAGGCAAAAGACAGAATTAGCTCACCACCTCATCAACAAGACCTGGAGTCAAAGGATATCATTTAAAGCTGACATTTCAATATCAGAAATACAAGTAAATTTCAGAGTAGAAAGGCAAACATTGAGAAAGGTATTATTATTGACTAAAACTGGGTGATGGGAGGAAGAAAACAAAACACGTTAATTTGATAATTACTCATGGAAGGTGTACTAGTTTCCTATTGCTGCCATAACAAATTATCACAAATTCAGCAGCTCAAAACACACAAATTAGTTCTATCACAGTTTCCATGAGTCAGAAGTTGGGCTGTGTTCCTTCCTGGAGATGCTGGAAAAATAACTCAGGTTGCGGGAAGAGTCCAGGTTCTTGTGACTGCAGGACTGAAGTGCCCGAGTCCTTGCTGTTAGTGGGGGGGAGGTGTCACCCTCAGCTCCTAGACCCTCCTAGACCCTGCTGCAGTCCTTCAATTGGGACCTCTCTGAGGTTGCCTTCACCACACCTCTCTCACTTCTCACTGGACAAAGTTCTCTCCTTTTCAAGGCTTAGATAACTACATTGAGCCCACCCAGGTAATCCAGGCTAGTCAATCTACATCTGCAAAGTCCCTTTCTACCATGTAACATGACATGGTCAGAGGTGCCAGGGTAGAGTATGGCTACCTGGGGTAAGGGTAGGGTCAGGGGGAGGACATCATTCTGCCCATCACACAAGCTACTGAATATATAATCCTCATAGGCGTATAGTGCTACGAGCATTATATGACATTATATGAGATATTATAACATTTCATAGTGACGAAGGTATAGACTCTCCCAAATATCAGAAGAACTGTAAAAACTAAAAAGAAAAAAAGCAAATGACAACAGAATAAAAGACGAAAAATAATACAAACACACACCACAAAACTAAGATCAAATATGCTTGATCTATCAATAAATGTAAATTAGTTGAACCTACCTAGAGAAAAAAAGATTCTCAGATTGAATCACAAAGCAAAATCCAACTCGATCTGGCACATAAGAGACACAAAGTAATCCAGAGGGTTAAAAATAAAAGAATGGGCAAAGGTGTGCCAAGTAAACACAAACTCAAGAAAGCACTAGTCATGATCTTACAGTCAGAAGAGGGAGAAATAAGACAAAGAAGGGCACCTTGATACTAACAGGTAACCCTCAGAATAAAAATACAACAGTCATTTGGATTTTGGCCATCCTAACTGGGGTGAGATGGTATCTCAGTGTGGTTTTGATTTTCATTTCCCAAACTCCCCACTCAAAAGACACAGATTGCTTCATTGGATTAAAAAGCTAGACC